AAATCGTTAAAACCTACTTTTCCCCATTGTGATTCATAATCACAAACAGTATTCATTAATTTCTTGATTTGGAAAAGATATTCGCTGGTACCAAACATTTTCTCGATATAAAGTGATGTTATAAACCTGAATGGAAGGGTGGAACACTTTGAAACAAAATAAGAAACTGTAAGGAATACCTCGACAACGACCGTACCAACCACCAATCAACAAAATGGGCTGGCGATATGAAGCAACCAAAAAATTGCTGGGCAGCACCCACTGCTAATAACTGACGACATTCCTAAACGTACTGATTTTATATTCTGAAAAAAATCAGAGTTCAAGAGGCACCTACCTGTACAGCATCAATAATTTTCTTATGATGGAGTGTACTTATCGAAAAGATGGTCATACTGCTGTAGCTGGTGACTTCATCGGGAATCTGAAAACGACCAAATCCATAGCATTTAGCGTAGAGAATGAAAAAGCTTACCATATCAACGAAAACTTGTTTATAGGTAGGGTAGGGAAATCGGCACGATAGCAGTTCTTCAAAATACTCAAGAATCTTGTCAAGTGGCGCTACCGTGTGTTTCACTAATGAAAGCAGTCCGACGGGTGCAAAACTGGTTATCTTAAAAAAGAGATATATAGATCAATTTTCTACACGACTCAATTTGGGAAGAGAAATACCTCTGCCATATCTGGCAATGTGTACGTCGAGAACTGCCCAATTGCAAAACCGATATTGCAAGCGGCAGTTGGCACTAACTGCTGGTAATTCCACGTCCGCAAATGGCTATCGGCATTGCTGTCATACCCCTGAATCAAGATTCCGAAGTAAAAGAATAGTGTGAGAAAGCTATATCATGTAAGTCAAAAAAGGATGAATTTAGTAAATGGACGCATATAGAAAACTCACAACTAAATCCCCACTTGCTACAGCGGTAAGCCAACTTTCACACGTTATGTGTATGCGCCACAGAGCAAGCTGATCAGGTGCATCTACGCAAGGAAGCCATTCGCGAGTACCTGGAACAAAAGGTAGACAATTTCTATCAAATATTCATAACAAACAACATATTCTTATGATTTCCATTAAACTTCGTTTCACAGCTTTATGTAAAGAATCCAGTCAAGATAGACTACAAACTTGTCAGAAGTGAGCTTCTGTAGGTAAACATATGCGGTCCTTTGTCAATCGTACCATCTGCGGCAAGATTGTAAACGAACTGGATACCCTATAAACAGTTAAGGTAATTTCCAGTTTTAAACATTATTGAAGT